AATCTATTATTGTACATAATTAGGCTACAATAAAATTTGTATTTTATATGAATACTACCTGATGAAAATTGAGATTTAGTAAAGTGAGGGTCTCTGTATCATAGATTCAATAAATACAAGACCCTTGCACCAGCCGTGGAAGCTTAAAATAAACACTTAGGCCAGTTCATTGCCCAGAAAGATGCCAAGTTCTGCGAGGATGGAATCATGAAGCTGTCTCAAAAAGATAGTGGAAGAAATTGGCACATGCATAATCTATATACAAATATCCAAATATTTTCTGTGAAATTCACTTAGAAAAGCACCACAGACTTTTTATTTGGAATCAGTAGAATTTTCATTTTTTTTTTTTTTTTTTTTTTTATAAACTTTTTTGAAAATTTAACATTGGGGGGAATCACAAAATAAGATCAAATTATTGAAATAAAAAAAAATTTTTTTAAAAAACTACACCAACTCAAGTGAAAAGTAGGAAATACATTTTTTTTTGGACATTTCAAAAGTGATTATAAACAAACTGATATCTCTTCTTAAAGAAATGAATTTAGATAAGACAGTGAGTGGTCATTGATAAATATAAATAAATATATGGGAGGACTGCCCAACAAAGAGAATTGACAAAGTTAATAATAAGAAAAAAAAGAAAACAACAGGTGAAAAAGAATAATAATATAAAGCAAAAAAAAAATATTTAATAAGAGTTATGGCCCAGTTAATAACAAGTGATAGTCTTGTACCACGGTGATAGAACCAATAAAGAAGAACTCGAACACAGGTATGGAATAAACACAGATATATTACAAACAGGAACATATACAGAGAAGTAGAAGTGTTAGTATGAACAATCAGGTTTAGTAGAGAGAACAATGTAGTCTCGACTAGTATCACTATTCCAATGTCTTGCAGTAATTGTCTGAATGTGACTTTTTCGGACTGCCTCTGACTCGACTCAAACTAGTGACTCCTTGCTTACTCCTGAGGCGCAGTATTTATTAAGTATGGAATAGTCCATTATTATTATTATGGGTAAGACCCCATAACAATAAAGCAAAGCAACAGTAATATCACAAAAAGTTAACAAACTAAGACTTAGGGTTGATACACAAGAGCATATTTGGATAAGCAAATATAGCATTCTAGCTTCAAGAGAAGACAGACCAAGACTGAGTCATATGAAACCGAGAACTGGCCTGTTTTATTTGCTAGGAAGAAATCCCAGCATGCATTTGTGTGCTTCTACCTATAAATTGGGGAGGGTAAAGTGTTTTGCAATCATTCCAATACAGATTGGAACTACCGAAGACAGTAAAGGAAAACAAGGAGAAAGAATTATTAATACATAGCTGAAAAGGGATGGTCCAAATTGTGAGCTATATGTTTTGGGAACATTAAAATCAAGCCAGTGCAGAAATTTAATAGTAGTATAGAAGCAGATGACAGATATGAGACACAGAAATTTGAAGATGCATAGGAATAACAAAAGATGCCTTTCAGAAACTAAGTATTAAGAGATGAGAAAATATTGTTAAAAACAAAAAGAGTGCTGAACTGCTATTGAAATGGCGTAGTTAGAGGGTGGCGATCCACCTCAGGTGGCATTTTCATGGGGGCAACACTATTGTGTCAGCTGTAGGCTATAATCCTGCATAGGCTCTATAGAAATAAGAGTAGTTTTAATGTCAGAACAGTACTCATAATTAAAGGATCTTTTCGATTTCATGTAACTTAAACTATGGCATATATGTTGGCCTATCTACTGTCTAGAGAGCAACAATTGACAGATGAAATAATTTTTGATGACGTCATTGTGTAACAATATAATTTCTCACACATCCTTAGATGAAGAGATAGATCCTTTTTCTTTTTAAGTCTAATGACCAGGATTTTTCAGGAATCCTGTCTCCACCTCACCTTTGAATTGACAAACATAAAATTTTGTTAATGATTTTAGATAGCCATAAAAGTAGAGTCCTTTGAAAAACTGACCACCCAAAACCTGACTGGGTGGCCCCTCTTTTCTTGTTGGATGGATAGGGGTGGTTAGTCTCTCAACCAGTATCCATATAATGAGTGGTCATTGAAAGGACAGTTAGTCAGTGAAATGGCCAGCAGTGAGCATCTAGGTCCTTTATTAATTGCCTGAGGTTAGTGAGATGGCAGAAGTCACTTTCTCGAAGCAGAGGGACTACATTACCAATTGAGAAATCATATTTTTTTGCTACTTCCCAAACAGTGTCTTGAAAAGCATTTGTCGTTATTCTTTGTTGACATCGATCACGGCCCTAATATTCTGTGGAATATAGCGAGCGCCGATGTATTTGCATACAGCCAACATTGGATGTCATCACAACTTGTGCAGAAATGCATCTTCACAATTGAAGAATTTGCCAACAAAAAAAGCAAGAAAAGTTACTTTGTAGAAAGTTGCAATTTTCATTTCAGAAATAAAGATGGTTCTAATTTGTTTTACACATTTTTCCCTACAATTTCATTTTTATTTTTTAACTGTTACTGATAAAGTATGTTTAGTGTGTATTTAAAGCATACTATATTTGACTATTTGAAATTAGTATAATGATACACAAACTAGTTTTATAACTTTAAGAGAGAATCACTGTGCAACATGTATTTTTTTGTGGGAGATAGGCGTGGCAAAA